GTGCATATTAATAACAGTACATCTTTAACATGCCAGAATTAGCCAAAGGCTAGTTTTCATCTGTAGTCCTGGTGGCCAGTTTTACAGTTGCACCCTAGGAAGATATAAATTTTTAAACAATAAAATCATCAACACTTGAGAACAACATATTTAAAGCAGTGTTAGTTCACTGCAAGAGAAACAAAAGTAGCAGCATAAATAGTGAGATACAAATAAAAATAGTTCTGAAAAGCAGCAGCAAATCCTTCAGTCCATCCGTCCGTCCATTTTCTCCCGCTTATCCGGGATCGGGTCGCGGGGGCAGCAGCCTAAGCAGAGAGACCCAGACTTCCCTCTCTCCAGCCACTTGGGCCAGCTCAACTGGGGGAATCCCAAGGCGTTCCCAGGCCAGCTGAGAAACATAGTCCCTCCAGCGTGTCCTGGGTCTTCCTCTGGGCCTCCTCCCAGTGGGATGTACCCGGAACACTAGGTGTGTGTGCGTCCAGGAGGCATCCTAACCAGATGCCTGAGCCACCTCAACTGGCTCCTCTCGACGTGGAGGAGCAGCGGCTCTACTCTGAGTCCCTCCCGGATGACTGAGCTTCTCACCCTATCTCTAAGGGAGAGCCCAGACACCCTGCAGAGGAAACTCATTTCAGCCACTTGTATCCGCAATCTTGTTCTTTCGGTCACTACCCAACGCTCGTGACCATAGATGAGGGTAGGAACATAGACCGACCGGTAAATCAAGAGCTTCGCCCTCTGGCTCATCACCTGCTTCACCACGACAGACCGGTTCACTACTACTGCTACTACTACTACTAATAATAAATATTCTCTTTTGTTGGTAAATTCATAACTCACTACAATATAAAGGGAACATATGCTAAATCCACTTTGTAAGGCTGGACCAACAAGTCGTCCCTTGTTGACGTCTTTTAATTGATTTGTAAATAAAAAGTTTCTGCACCACCATATAGTTGTAAACTCCTCTATCAAACTAGAATGAACCACTTTTCTCACTACACAGGCAGCTAAAATTTATATGCATGCATTGTCTTTTCTCATATTTCTTATTTTCTTACAACTTGGTCCCATACAACAGCAATTGTGTTAAAACGCATCAAATCTCTTCAAAAAGACAAAGTTCTTGATAGACAACCTTATCATGTTCATTACTGTACAATCATTGATAAATGGACTTTGAAAATTATCAAAGATTCAGTGATTTAAGTTTTGTTTTTAGGGCCTTAAATGGACACACTCCTCCACCTTTAAACAATTTTATCCACAAATATACATCCAAAAGTAGAGGGGACTGTGTTGTTGTAAGTTTGGTCGAAAGGTCACGTCTATCAGAGGAACTCTCTTATGGAATGAACTACATGCAAATATCAGAGACTGTGACAGTCATTCCATTTTTAAAAAGAAACCTAAAGTTTGGCTGAAAAAAAATCAGTCATGCATTCATTTGTAACATTATTTAACTATATACCCTATTAACTTGAGGAGTTTGTGTGTTTGTTGGGCAGTGTTGAATTGTGTGCACTTGTTTAATGGACTGTTTTTATCTGCTCAGGACTATGGATGAAATTTAGTTGTTGTGCTAATTCCGGCGCAATATATTCACAGAGTATTGGTTAATGTGCATTGTCCTCTTAAATAAATAAATAGAAATGGAAGCTGGAGGGGTGGTGGGGTGTGAAGCTCCTCATTTAGATGTGAAGAGACAGACTCAAAACGAGTTGATCTAAGGGGTGAATGAGGGGCTCGTGGAGTTACAATAAGGAGGAACTCAGACCAAAGCATTGCAGTTCCACTTTACATAGACCCCAACTGAATTTAATAATGGAAAAGAAGGATTTAAAAGCATGACATGTCTCCTTTAATTGCATTTTAACAGACAGAAAACAATCTTCTGTATTCACAAATGCAAAACGTCTCGATTTACTATCAGAGAAAATGTATTCCAAATGTCAAATTTCCCCTTTTTTCTAGACTCGATGTTAAATAAAAAAAAAGCAGATGTCAGTGTTGACATGAAGCTGGGTGGGGTTTCCTGAGGGAACGAGCATTTCAAGCCAAAGTAAACTTCTAAATCATCAAAAAGCCACATTTTTTTCCATAATGTGTTTGTGAGTCAGCAGGTCATACTTTTTGTTGCATCTTATCTTAATAAACTTTTAGGCTTTGCTGTTCTTTTTTTCTTAATTTACAGCGTTTTAATCTAAAGGTATGATGTTTTGATGACTTCATTTAACTGTTGTTTAAAGTATTTTTTTTATGAATGTAATAAAAAATGTATACCAGCCAAGGATCATTTCCAAATTTTTTTCTGCCTGGAAATAAGACAATGTTAAGTTAATGAAAGACTAAATCACGTTTAAAGGCACTTTAAACTAAAAATGATCAAGTCAGAGTAAATGTTTAATATTAAAGGGATCATGAGTGTTTAGCAGATTTACAGTATTTCTCTATTATTTGGCAACTCTGACTTCCTGACAGCCAGAAAGATCTGGTTTTCACTATGACATCATCTGCAAAACTTTTCTTTTTCTCCTCATGACTCTACACTTTTATACGCATTAAAATTCACACACACACACACACACACACACACACACACACACACACACACACACACACACACACACACACACAC